ATGTTAACTCAAATCTTAGACCTTAAAAACTCAGTTTTATTGATTTACTCACAGCCACAGCCTCTGTCTTCACATCATCATTGCTGTCTGGTGCAGTCAGTTCTATAAGAACAGGGCAAACTTTGGTCTCTACATCATATCTCTCAATAAGTTCTTGCTCTAACAGAACCAGCAATGCTGCCTGGCTTGTTTTTCTCACCTATCATAGAAAAAAAAAGTGGAAACAAGAGTTTACATGAGCTGGTTTTTAAATATACGCTGGAAGATATGCTGACATGCCCTCATCACCCTTGTTGTTGTGAAGGGCATATGCTCTTAAGTCCTTCTGCAACTGAATGAAAAGTCATCACAGGAACATGTATATAGAGTAAATTATTGCAGTATTACAAATACTGCAAGAGCATTCCCTTACATTTCGAAAAAGACAAAAAGGTGATGCAAAACAGGTACAATCGCAGAAAGGCTGATATTGGACACTATTAGTAAAGAATTAAAGGAGAGAATAATTAATGCCAATCTAACAGTCTTCTGAAAAATATCTGTCAAACAAATTCCATTTTTTGAAAGAATTAAAGTTTGGTTGATAAAAGTAACTATGTTGGCATAATATACTTAGACATCTGTAAGACATCTGACTTAATCCCTTATAACCTTCTTGATAAGAAAAACTCAGTACTATTCTAAAAATCAATTACATCCATTGAAATGGGTAACTGACAAATTTTAAAAAATAAATGTAAACAAGAAATCATCATCCAACAGACTTGATTCTAATTAGATTCTACAGGGATGTGTTCTTGGAAGAGTGTTATTCAATATCTGTATTAATGATCTGGAAGCACTACTGGTAAAACTGGCAGATGATAAAAAGCTGAAGGAGTGATAAATCACAGGAAATGTTAACTACACTGATCTGGACTGCTTGGTAAATTGGGTTTATTGAACAGCACACACTTTAATGAAGAACAAAGAATATAGGTAACAATAAAAAACATAGGTAAAGAATATAGGTAAAAATACAGGGGGACTATATCATGTCTTATAGTGACATGGAAAAGAATTCGGAGTTCATGTAGATCGGGGTGGGGAACTTCAAGCCTGGGAGCCAGATGTGGCCCTCAGCTTGCCTGGATCCTGCTCCCGAGGCTCAGGTCCTCCCCCCAGCATTGGAGAGCCCATGCGGGCACTCTAGTCCCACTCTGCACACACTACCATGGGACTGGAGCACACAAAATCTACTAAGCTGGGCTCCCCCAAGGCTCTGGTGTGGGAGGGGAATGTAGGGAGTGTCTTTCATAACAATCGGTCAGGGGCCATGTCAGTGATAGTTTATTTTTTTTGTTTCTCACTTGTGTGCAGCCCCCGACAGATTTTTCTGTGGGTCACCAGCCCTCCATCTCCAAAAGGTTCACGCTGATGTAACTAATAAATTAATGATGAGCTCCCAGTGCACACCCTGTAAGAAGGGTAACAATCTTTGGGTATATAAGCAGAAGAATATCAAGCAGTAGGGAGGTGATATTATCTTTGTATATGGCATTAGTGAACTATAACTAGAATACTATGTCTAGTTCTAGTATTTATATAACAAAAGTGCACTACAAAT